GTGAGTTCGAGCCCCACGTCGGGCTCTGTGCCGACAGCTCGGAGCCTGGAGCCTGGAGCCTGGAGCCTGCTTCGGATTCTGCGTCTCCCTCTCTCTCTGCACCTCCCCTGCTCCTACTTTCTCAAAAATAAGCAACTGTTTCAAAACATAATAATACATGAAGTATACGCTTCAACAGTATTCAGTACACTCAGCCTGTTGTGTAACCATCACCATCGTGCATTTCGAGCACTTCCTCAAGTTCCCAAACTGAAACTCTGTACCCAATAAACACCAACTCCCCATTTCCCCCTCTCCCAGCCCCTGACAGCCGCCATTCTACTTTCTGTTTCTGTGACTTTGACCACGGTCCATGTACCTCACATTTTCTGTCTGACTTCTCTCCCTTAGCATAACGTCCTCAAATTCAACCACGCCGTGGCACGTGTTCGAAAGTTCCTCCGTTTCACGACTGAGTAAGGTCCCATCGTGTGTATACACCTCATGTGGTTTATCCGTGGAGCCACGGATGGACGCTGGTCGGCTGCCAGCTATTGAGGGAGAAGGAGCTGTGAACACCGATGCACAAAGATCCGTGAAAGTCCCTGCTTTCCATCCTCTGGGCATCTATCTGCCTAGAAGGGAAATTGCTGGATGGAGCAAGGTTAGAACTTTGAAACATGCACACGGTGGGGCGCCTGGGTGGCTCTGGTGGTTACGCGTCTGACTTCGGCTCAGGTCATGATCTCACAGTTAGTGAGTTCGAGCCCCACATCGGGTTCTCTGCTGTCGGCAAGAGCCTACTTTGGATCTTCTGTCTCCTTCTCCCCCTTCCCCCCTGAGCGTTCCCTCTCTCTCTCTCTCTCTGAAAACAAATACAGAAACTCAATAAAGTCTGGAAAAATTAAAATATTAAAAGAAAACATGAACATGGTGGTGGGGATGTGAATTCACGTGACTATTCGGGAGAAGGCTTTCATGAGATTCTCTGCAGCTGATTACACGCCTACCTCGTGATGGAGCAGAGTGCTAGCGTTCCTTCTTTTTCAGCGAAACTTTCCTATCGGGGGCGCCTGGCTGGCTCAGTCGGTGGAGCCTGCAACCTTAGGGTCATGAGTTCACACCCCATGTTGGGCATGGACCCTACTTAAACAAATTTAAAAAATCATATAAATAAATCATCACAAATAAAAGCCAAACCCCGGCAACAAATGCAGTCACTGTATTTTTTTTTTTTAATGTTTATTTATTCTTGAGACAGAGAGAGACAGAGCATGAATGGGGGAGGGTCAGAGAGAGAGGGAGACACAGAATCCGAAACAGGCTCCAGGCTCTGAGCTGTCAGCACAGAGCCCGACTCGGGGCCCGAACTCACGGACCGTGAGATCATGACCTGAGCTGAAGCCGGACGCTCACCCGGCTGAGCCACCCAGGCACCCCTGCAGTCACTGTATTTTAGAATAAACAGATGGCAGGATGTCCAACCTACGATACTAATTAAAAGCAAAAACTGGGGTGCCAGTGTGGCTCCGTCGGTTAAGTGTCTGACTCTTGATTTCGGCTCAGGTCACGATCTCATGGTTTGTGGGTTTGAGCCCTGCATTGGGTTCTGGGCTGACACTGCGGAGCTTTCTTGGGATTCTCTCTCTCCCCTCTCTCTCTCTCTATCCCTCCCCTGCTCTCTCAAAATAAATAAATAAACATTAAAACAAGCAAAAAGAATACCAAAACCAAAAATGAATTACTGATGCATGGAACAACACGGATACACCTGAAAAACTTAAAGCTGAGAGAAAGAAGTCAGACCCTAAAGCTCGTGTAGTATCTGAGCCCCCATTCCTAGCGCACAAAAAACGGGCGCTGCGGATCTGCAGGGACAGAAGAGAGAGAGGCCATACAGTTGTAAATGTGTGACTTGAAGGGGCCTAAGACAAAGCCCAATGCCTTCAGCTGGGCACTCAAGGCTCCGACATTTCTCACCCTGCCTTCTCTCCCACGGTGATCCTGTCTCTGGTGCTTCTGGAACTCCTGCCACGCGGCGGGCAAGGGGCCCTCCCCGTCATCTGCCAGGGCCGTCTCAGGTCTCGGCACATCTCCACCCTGACTGCCCGCCCACCGCTCACCCTCCCCACCTTAGTGGTGGAACCTGACCTCCAGGAGGAAGTGGAAAGAATCTGTAGGTTGAGCTTGGTGGGGGAAGCAAGGGTGTTGACACAGGTAAGCACTGATCGAGTCGCACTCTTTAGATTTGCATATTTTACTCTATTTAAGTTAGGCCCCCAAACACAATGAATAAACGAAAAGTCTTGGTTAGAAACTGTTCAGCAAAAAGGAAGAGAAGATTAAAACATAATTTTGCTCTTGGGGCGCCTGGGTGGCGCAGTCGGTTAAGCGTCTGACTTCAGCCAGGTCACGATCTCACCGTCTGTGAGTTCGAGCCCCGCGTCGGGCTCTGGGCTGATGGCTCGGAGCCTGGAGCCTGTTTCTGATTCTGTGTCTCCCTCTCTCTCTGCCCCTCCCCCGTTCATGCTCTGTCTCTCTCTGTCCCAAAAATAAATAAACGTTGAAAAAAAAAAAAATTTAAAAAAAAAAAAACAAAAACAAAAAAAACATAATTTTGCTCTAGAAATTTCTATAGACATTAAATGATAAAATCAATTGTTATGTCTCACTTTTAATCAAACTCGTATATACAATTTTTTATTTTTTTAATGTTTATTTATTTTTCAGAGAGAGAGAGAGAGAGACAGTGTGAGCAGGGAGGGGCAGAGAGCAAGGGAGACACACAGTCAGAAGCAGGCTCCAGGCTCTGAGCTGTCAGCACAGAGATTGACTTGGAACTCGAACCCACAAACTGAGATTATGACCTGAGCCAAGTCAGACACCCAACGAATGCACTGGGCCACCCAGGCGCCACTGACTTGTATTTATAATTACACGTGATGTTCTGGGGGTGCCTGGGTGGCTCAGTCGGTTAAACATGCCACTCTTGATTGAGGCTCAGGTCAATGACCTCAAGGTTCATGAGTTCAAGCCCTACATCGGGCTCTGCACTGCCAGTGCAGAGGCTGCTTGGGATTCTCTCTCTCCCTCTCTCTTTCTCAAAATAAATAAATAAACTTAAAAAATCCTGTGATATTCTCTTGCAATTATTATGAGGTAGGCGTCTTTCGGGTGGGAAAGACGTGTTCCTGACTCCACCGTGCATTGACGTCTACACTGAGCAGGAAATCTGGGAGACCAGAAAGTCGGGGGTTAGTCAGGTAACTTCTGGGTCATGAAAATAAGCCTGAATGAAGCTCATTCCCTTCGCAGGGGCAGGGCTGGGGATGGAGAGCAGGAGGGTGGGAGGGGTGACACCAGCAAGGAGGGGCAGGCTGAACAGAAGGAGACACCCACAGGCACAGACGGGGGAGAGGGGGTGCCCGTGGGGTGTGTACTAGTCAGATTGTTCGTTTCCTGTATCTTGTGACTTTTGATGTGTTAAAAATCTTGCCATCCCTGGGGAGACGGCCCCTCCAGGCCGGGCCGGGTCTTAAAGGTAGCAGAGGGCTCAGTCCCTTCAGAGCAAACCAACCAATCCCCAGCGTGTCCCCCAAACACCCCTTTTCTCTCATCCCACGCCAGGCCACCGTTTCCCCTGCCCTAAGACACTCAGGACAGGAACCAGACACCTAGAGCCCCCCCTCTAGGCCAAGGCCCCCCCGGAATGACTCAAACTAGCTGGTCCCGAGCTGCCCTCCCGGCCTGGCCTTTCCCACAGGTCTCTGTCGTCTCTGGCGAGGCTTCCCTGCACCTGCTTCTGCCCCTGTGGCCCTGAATGGCGTGGCGTGCCACAGCCCCTGCTGAAACCTAAGTAGTCCCTTCTTCTGATGGCGCGGCCTCCCCACATTGTCACTCAGTCCGCTCTCCAAATTAAACTCCCAGGAACTGAGCAGGCTTGAGTTGAGAGCTTCCAGGAAGAAGCTGACCACGAGGGCCCCATATCTGTCCCTCTGGGCTCCAGGGCCACACCTCAGTCCCGTCTCCAGAGGGAGGGAGGCTCGGTCTGGACTCTCAGCCCTGCTTCCTGGCGGCCTCCACACCTGCAGGGACAACGTGGGTCTCAGATCAGAGAGTTGTCCCTTTCATTCTAACTCCAGGCAGGTGGGACAGCTGCGTCCCACCTGGAACTCAGGGACTTCCTGGAGACTGCCCTGGGGGGGAGGGGGGGGACAGGCCCGCTCACCTGGTGTAGTAGATCCAGGTGAGGCCATAGGTGAGGAGGAAGCCAGCCCCCATGAGGGCCCCTCTGAGCAGGGTGAGGACCAGGGGCCAGGAGCCCTCTTGCTCGTCAGTCACACAGTTGCAGGAAGACAGGCTTCCTGGCGAAGCGGGGGACAGAGGATGAAGTCCTGCCCGCAGGCCCCAGGCCCTTCCACATCCCAAACACCCGGCCAGGCTGTCCACCCCCACAACCCGTGTTGCGACTCACTCTGCACAGAGAGGCTGAAGGAAATGTGCTGGGAGCCCAGCGGGTGCCGAGCCTGGCAGGTGAATTCTCCTTCATCTCCAGCCCCTACGTGGGGCAGCTCCAGGACCCCGGGTGCGGAGGGCTGGGAGGGGCTCAGGGCTTTCCCCTCCCGGGACCAGCTCAGCACGGCAGGGGGATTGCTGTCAGCCACGCAGACCAGCCGCAGGAACTGGCCCTCCAGGACCGGCAGCGACATACCGTTGCACAGCGTCTTGGGGACTGGGTAAGAGATTCACCACAAGGCGGGTGGAGCCGGGACATGAGTCCCTTCCGGATGGTGCCCGCAGAGCCAGCAGTGGAAAGACAGGGCCATGCCACAAGGGCTGACGGCGGGGCTACTCGTGGCTGATTAGCGACCCTGGCGGTCAAGTCAGGCCACCAGAAAGAAGGGGGGCTGCGCTGAGGTGGGGAGGGTGAGCCGTGGGCGGGCAGCTCCCGTGGAGATGTGCCAAGACTTGAGGGCCTGGCACGTGAGGGGAGGAACACCTGCGCCTGGGCAGGGAGAACCAGGACAGACACCGTCCCGATGGATCCCGGTGGGAGAGAAGGTGGGGTGAGCCTTGAGGGCCGGACTGAGCACCTTGAGCTTTGCCCTGAGGTTACTGGGAAGCAGTAGGGGCTGTAAAAGCAGGGGAAATGCAGAATCAGCACTAGTTCTAGAGAGATCCTGCTGGGGCCAAGTGGGGAGTGCAGGGAAGAGATTAACCAGGAGGCAGGGAGGCTGAGGAAGAGGCTGAGGTGAGGGTTCAGGGTCCAGGAGTAGACTGGAGCTGGGTCTGGGGCCAAGGGCAAGAAGAGGGGAATGATTTGGGAAGTGAGGTCCTCGAGACTCCCCGACTCGTGGGGGGATGCTGGCAAGGAGGGGACTAGAAAGTTGTGGGAGGCACCAGGATAGGGTCAGGATAGGGACGGGGGCACAGGTGGAGACAGGAACAGAATGAGCAAGCCCACGAGAGTGGAGACAGAGAGAAACAGGGGTCCAGGCTGGAGCCGTGGGGAAGGGGAACATGGAAGGGTCCACCAGATCAGAGAGGCAGGAGAGCAGACAGCAACTCCAGCCCAGGGAGCAGAACCTGGAGAGTCAGAAGGTGGAAGGGAGGCTGCCAGGGGGCGGGGGAGGGGAGGGGAGGTGTGGGAGGGGAGGCGAGGGGAGTTGGTGCCCCGATGGACACAGTTTCGGTTCCGGGAGCTGGAGGGAGCCCTGCAGACCAGTTGCACAACACCACGAACGGACTGGACATTGCTGAGCTCTACCCTTAAACACCCGGAAGGTAGTGTTACCTGTGTCTGTTTCACTACAAGTAACATAGACTTTGGGGAGCCTGAGTGGCTCTGTCGGTTGAGTGTCTGACTCTCGATTTCAGCTCAGATCTTGATCCCAGGGTGGTGGGATTGAGCCCCGCGTAGGGCTCTGGGCTGAGCTCGGAGACTGCTTGAGATTCTCTCTCTCTCCCTCTGCCCCTCCCTCCCTCTCTCTCTTTCTCGCTAAAATAAAACTTAAAATGAACTTAAAAAACCACAGACCTTAAAACTAAGGAACAATGGAGAAGGTCAAAAGGAACTAACGTCCAGTTATAGAACAAATAAGTCACGGGATGTAACACGCAGGCACAGAGACCGTAAGTAATAGCGGTACCCCAGACTTGAAAGCTGTTGGGGCGCCTGGATGGCTCAGTCGGTTAAGCATCCGACTTCGACTCAGGTCACGATCTCGCGGTCCGTGAGTTCGAGCCCCGCGTCGGGCTCTGGGCTGATGGCTCGGAGCCTGGAGCCTGCTTCCGATGCTGTGTCTCCCTCTCTCTCTGCCCCTCCCCCGTTCATGCTCTGTCTCTCTCTGTCTCAAAAATAAATCAACGTTAAAAAAAAAATAAAAAAAAAAAAGCTGCTACGAGCACAGATCTTAGATGTTCTCACCACAGGAAAAAAGAACAGTAACTACGTGTGATGAGGGATGTTAACTGAACTTGCTGTGGTGATCATGTCACAATACAAATCATTATGTTGTATAGCTAAAACGAACACAACAATACAACGTTATGTGTCGATTAGTCCTCAGCCAAAGTAAAACATAAACAATACATACAAACCAGAGAAAAGAAGAGGCAGCAGCCAAAAGGAATACAGGGTCCACGATGGGAGACGCTGGTGAGGTGGGTGGGGGGGCAGACCCAGACCACAGGGCTGAGGAGTGGGCGAGGGTCTCAATCCCCAAGCCCTGAACCATGAGCCCTGAGCACGCAGAGACCCAGTTCCTATCACAGCCCCAGGGAAGAGAGGATCTTTCCTGCCTGCGTTGTGGCCCTGCAAATTGTGGGTGGTCATCAACTGCCGTGTGGCTGAGAGGGGTGGGCTTTTGCCCTTTGTTCCAGAAGCCCCGTAAGTGCAAACCTTGGACGGGGTGTTCAGACTTCCCCCAGTGTCCTCCGGGAAAAGGATCCCAGGCCTGGATCCCTCTTCCCCCCATTGCCCTCTGGGACCCAGCCCTCCCTCCAGCACTCATGGGAGACAGTAAGCCAGATGGTCCCTTGCTGGGAGCTGAACCCCCACCCCCACCCCAGGCCTGGCCCCAGCCCCCAAGAAGATAGTTCTTTCCTACCTGTGACATTGCTGAAGAAGATGCTGATGGTGAGGTTGTGGGGGGCATCTGGGGTAGAAAGATATGGTCCTGCTTCAGAGGTGAGGATTGGGATGGAAGCTGACCCAGTACCCCCAGAGGGGTGGGGAGCACTGTGAGGGGGTGGGGAGCACTGAGAAGGGGTAGGGGAGCACTGGAAAGGGGTGGGGAGCACTCAGAAGGTGGGGATGGCCGTCCTTGCCGTCTCCCTTCCCTCTACTCCCAGAACTGCTCAAACCCCACTGCCCTGAGGGACCCAGCCCTCCCCCCCCCAAGCACTCACAGGAGACATTGAGCCAGATGGTTCTTTCCACGGTGGCCTGAACTTCTGGCAGTTTCACCTGACAGGTGAGGTTGGTGCCATGGTCCTGCGGCCTCGGGGTGAAGGCCAGCACCGAGGAGTGCAGGGTCTCGGGGTCCAGCGAGTCCAGAGCAGCCCCCACCCAGGAGAATGTGAGAGGTCTTCCCCCTTCGCAGGACCCCGGCAGGCTGCAGGTCAGCTCTGCGGGCCAGCCAGACTTGAGGGGCTCCGGGAAGCGGATGTCGGGTTCCTGTGTCAGGGCTGAGGAGGAGACAGGGAGGTGCCCGGGCCCCAGGGAGGTGGGGACCCACGGGGTGACCCTGAGAGGGTCCGGGCCTCAGGGCCCAAGCTGACCCCGGGCCCCGTTATCTCTTCCAACCGTCCCAGCCCCAAGACCCGGAGCAGGGAATGTTCCGGCGTCCTGTGCCTGCTCTAAGAGGGGGTGTCCACATCCCAGAGCCCTCCCCCGGGGCCCCTGCTGTACCTGCCACCCGCAGAGTCATCGTCGTATGTGTGTAAGTATATTTCACGTCTTCTCCTCTCTCCACTCGGAAAAAGTAGACTCCCTCGTCACTCCTCATGGCGTCTCTGATTCTCAGGGAGCAGTTGTAGGCCCAGGGGTCCCCGACGAGGCGGAATCGGCCCCGGGCCTCTGTCCTCACTGCTCTCTGTGGGTTATTTGTAGCCACCAGATAACGGTTGCTTGAGGTGTCCCTATCCCGGAACCAGTATATGTAGAGCATCGTCCGGGAATACCCCGGCTTCCAGGGGTAGGAGAAGGAACAGGGCACATGGACACACAGACCCTCCTGCACGGTCACGGATTCCTTCACTTGGAGCTGGTACT